AGCAGGATCCGGCTGCCTCTGCTCTGGCAGGACCAATGTCCTGCAAGGAGCTGCCATGCTGGGGTCCCGGGGGAATGTCCAGCAGCCAGGGCCTTTCCTCTGCGCCAAAATACATGTGGGCTTTGCTGAGACCTGAAGGAAATGTGCTGTAAAATGCATGCATAGCAAGAAATGCTAAAAATGGAGGAATCCATCCCAGGAGGACTTGCAGGGCGGTAGCTGGACTGCGCAGCTGGAGTTCCCTGGGCTCCCAGCCTGGCCCGAGCTTTTTCTTACCACTATCTTCCTCTCCTCACTCTTCATCACCTGCTCCTGGGGCTGGCAGGGTCTGCGTGGACAGAAAAACCTTGTCCTGCAGTTCAACCTCCCTGTGCCTTCTCCCCATCCCTGCACCACGCCTCGCTATTTGGCTGTGACCCGCAGAGCTGGCAGGGTTTGAACAATCCTGCCGCGCTGGGCTGGAAGAGGTTAACGGCATGAGATCCTAACGAGCCCAATCTCACTGCTATTTATACCCAGGAGGTTCTTCTCCAACCCCTCCACCCCACACCCTCACTCCCCACCACTCCTGCTACCTAGAAACTCGGGCTCCCTGCTTCCCTTGCATACAGCACAAGCCGACTAATTACCCACCCAGGAGCTGGAACGAGCTGTGCCACTGCAGACCGGCCCTAAGGAGAGGCTGAGGAGCCACCACTGCCAGGGACATGGGGAAGGCGAGGCAGAACTCCCCTCTCCATCCCTCCCTGGGAGAAGCATCCAGCTGCAGAGGGGCTTTGCTGGCCCCTAGGTCGTTCCCTGCAGCGAGGTGGGTCCCCTCATTTCCTGTGGGAATGCTGTGTCATGGCTGCAATGCTGGAGGAACCAACCTGTGCTTTGCACCGTGCCCACAGGAGAGGCTGGCATGGAAAGGCATGCACGGGGGGGTCCGGGTCCGCCGGACGTTGCAGCACATCCGTGGCACTGGGTGATGTATCGAGGAGAGCTGCCATTTGGCAAAGTTGCGTGTCCTTGCGGGAAAGTCTTGCTTTATCGGGACAGCTTTGGCTACACCCTGCCCTGGAGTTTTAACTCTGGGTACCCATCATCTTCTGATCCTCAGTCCTGATGCTGTGTCCCGCTCCTGCCTGGGCTCTTGGCACTCAGCTGGAGCGGTTTGGCAGTCACAGCTCCTCCTGGCTATGGTCAGTAACAGATACTTGCAGGACCAGGCTATATTTAGAGCAGTTGCTCCTTCTGATACCTTCTTGGCTCCTGGCAGCCCCGGGCATTGGGACTTCCCCAAGCAGGGGATGTGTCTGGACCATCTGCTTATAGTTACACTGGCCCTATCCACACTGAACTTGCCTAATCCCCCTTTGAACGCTTTGGCTTCTGCAGGATCCGAGACACAATAACCCTCATCCCTCTTGGGTGAGATGAAATGGGAGGAAATGTGTTTCTTTCAGCAGAGGAAGGCAGAAAAGCTGGGATTGTGTGTCGGAGGAAAACAGGGAGCAGATACCGGTTTCAGAGCACAGGGCTTGTCTATGGATACTGGCAGTGGGGAAGGATAACCAGGGAATAATATGAGAAAATTGTGTCAATAGACAAGACCACGAGAGACCGAGAGGAAAGATGCTGTGTGGCTGAGCAGACCTTCTCTGCCCCTGGCTCTGCCCAGGCCGAGGCGATGCCACTGGCTGATTGCCCTTAGCTATGGCTGGATCCTCCTGCTGAGCTTGGAGGGGGGCAGGACCAGCAAAGCAGCGTTTGCTGGCCTGGGAGATAAGAGCGATGCAGAGCAGTGTCTGCACTCGGCAGCAGCACTTGTTATCTCCCCAGGCTCAGACTGGAGTCTGGAGGATGTTTCCATACGGGGCTCAGCTGATTTAGCAGTGGTAAAATGGACTAGGAGCAAGAATTCCCCCAAAATCTTTCACCTGAATGTTTCATTTTCCTCCCTGGTTTCCAAAGATCTCAAGGATGTTGAAAGTTGTGTCTGGCTGAAACCAGGTGAGCAGAGAGGAAGAGTGAAATATTTACAGCCTGGAGGAAATTGGAACAAAATGTGAGGTGGGGGCCAGACGATGCTGGACCAACCTCTGTTTATACATCCTACCTCCTTCTGTGCCTGTCCCCTCACTGCACGTCTGCCTGCTAAGCCGTGAGCGGGGATCTAAGCCTGAATAACCAGAACCCAGCTGTAGGGTGGCAGGTTTGCATCCGCCAGATGTGCCCGAGAGGAGAGGGTGCCCTTTGGTGCAATGAGCGGGGCGAGATGCCAGCGGAGCACTTCCGCCCAAGTAAACTCATCCAGTGGTGATTCCTTGATATCCCTGACCCAAGACCTCCCAAGGAGAAAAGGGAGGTCAGGATCAGAAAACAAAAAAAGCCCTGTCAGTGCCAGGGCTGGCAGCCCAGCGCCCCAGCTGAGCTCACCCTGTGCCCGGGCATCTCTCCCGGTGGGGCAGAGGGCTGGGCTGGGGGCACCCATGCCTGCAGCCTGCCCAGCACCCAACATAGCCCAGCAGCTGCCCGGGACATCGGCCAGGCACCCGCCCCAGGCAGTCCCTGATTT